TTTTAATGGCCTATACCTTTTGGATTTATTTATTAATAAAAGTTTATGCTGCATTTGGCTTGTTTTCATAATAAAATGTAGCATCTTTTAAAAAAAAAATTATCAATATTTTTAACAGATATTACAAGCTGAAACTTATGATATATTGAGCATGTAAATATAAGTTTATTCTGAAATGTTAACATTGGTAATACCAATGGAAATGTGAAAATACTAACTTGCATAATCTGACAAAGTAGTGAGTGAAATGACCAATGTCAAATATTTAAGAGGTGTAAAGCAATCTTAAAAAACAAAATAAAAAATATTGTGAATTTGAACTGTATTTTTATGTCATATTTTTATATTGTACTTTAAACAGAAAAAATTCTAATTATTTAAAAAATTTATAAATTAATCTTTAATCAGTTGTATATTGCAAACAAGCATTGCTTCTAAGGATCTAAACCCTACACACACAAAAAAAAAAAAACAAAAAAAAAAACGTTTATTTCCCACTAAATTAAAAAGAAAAAGAAAACAATACTTTTAACTTAGAATTACTGAATTTAGATTTCAAATAATAATACTAATCATTCAAGCTGTATACATTTACAATGAAAGTCACAAAAAGATACAATTAGCAGAGCTCCAAACTTGAGAATATAAAAGAAGAGTTTAATCAATTTAAAACTCATTACCAAGGAAGATCAGTTTCGATAAAAAATCTAAACATTTGAAAAAACAGATTTCTTGCAACTCTGAACTGTCTTTTGAAAATATCAAAAAGATTTACTGTATGAAACCAGACAAGTTTAAAAAAAAAAAAAAAAAAAAAAACTTTAGAAAAACTATCAAATAAAGATCATATCTGAATTAATTTACCACCTTGTCTAGCAAGTGAAAAAAAAAAAAAATACTCTGTTGCTCTTACATAGGAAAGAGTCAGATGAGTATGTTAAGGAGAGCTTGAACCATGAATTAGCAAAGCTTCATTTGTAGAATTCAAAAGAGAAACATAAAATGGAAATAAACAAGGCATACTATATATGTATATAAATTTGAAAAAAAAAAAAAAAAAAATGAACAATGAGGCAGAAATATGGACAACAGAAAAGGAAGTTGAATGAAAGTAATAAGCATCAAATGACATTCTCTTATCTGCATAATGTCAGTGTAACGAAGACAGGAGTGGATGTAATTTACAGTATTTTCTAAGGAAAATACTTTCACAGCATAGGTCACAGCTAGATGACTTTAATATATTTACAAATTGTATTTCAGTGATATTTAAGTGAGAAAAAGGTATCCTAATATTCTACAGTTTATACATGCACCCAAATAAAAAAAAAATGTTCAAAATGGTCATGTCAGTTAAGAAAAGAAAAAAAAAAAATCTGCTTTGTAGTTTTAACGCAGTAATAAATAGTTAAATATATTAAATATATCAAAAATAAAATAAATGTATCTAATTACTTGGTCAGGGATTATTAGAAAGCTTCTTCTAAGCTACTTTGCACAAAATGTTAGTAAATAAGTTTGTATTTATGATAGGCAATATTAAATTGGTGTTTAAAAACTTTAAAGCCCAAAAAAGTAAAAAATGTTAAATTCTGACAAATGAAAACCTGATATTTTGTTAATAGATTTAATGAATTTTGTTTTGCTATATGTAGAAGTAAATCTGTAGTCTTTGATAAAAAATAAACCTATTAGCTAATGCTTTATTCATACATTCTTTTAAAGTGATCTTAACATTTTAATTTCTTTTAAATCACAAAATTCTGAATTTAATTAAAATTTACTTAAAAAAAAATAAATAAATAAAAATAAGAAATAAAAAAAAATTAAAAAAAAGATTAACCATTAAGCAAATGAAATGATTTATTTAAAAGTTCTAAATGCTGGACTTGTAACATTTAAATATAAAATAAAGTTTAAAAAAAAAAAATCTTGTCTAAAAAGGCAAATGTTTTATTTTCTCTCAATACTGAATACACAGGATACACGAAATACACAATTCTATCGTCTAGTTCTAGTAATAACAAACAATTCATTTCAGACACTACATTTTATTGTTTTCATCTTGACTGATATATGTGCATGGGAAAAGTGTAGAAGGATGCTGAACTAGAGAACCAGTCTAGTGGTGAAGATATCTTGACTGCTTCAAAAGACAAATGCATGGAGAGATTACCTTAACATCTGTTTGGCGGGAGAGTGTCCTGTTTACCTGGCAACGGAGAGGAGTTAGTTAATAAATGAAGTGGAAATCTAATAATTTGTCAACATTATCCAAAGATACTTTAGAAAATTTACTGACTACCTAGCATTTATTTTGTTTCCTTATTCAAAAAAAAATTTTAAAAAATTTTAAATAAAAATAAAAAAAACAAATCAAAAATATACAAATGGCTTTTAAAAAGAGAAGTTCATATGATATCCCTTTGTATATGGTAATTCTATGTAATAAAACCAAATTTAAGTCTAAAGCCAACTACAAGAATGTTTAAAAAGTCAATTCAAGAGAATCTACTACATTTCAAAGAGGTTATTGCATAATGTATTTTTCAAAAAATATCACAAGGATGATGTCAGATTATTTGGATCAAAATAATTTTTAAACGATTATTTCAAAATGGTTCAGTCAGCAACTTCTCTTAACATCAGATGGAAAGAGAATCACAATTCAATTGTGCTCTCAAATTTTACCCAATGAAAACAGAACACTGATTAAATAAACAAAAAAATACATATAAATGGATAGATAGTATCAACATTCTTGCACAATGTGATGCAGAGAAGCATTACTCCATAATGCTTATATGCTAAATAGCAGTTTACATCTGAAAGTTATATGCATTTGTAACAACAATTTCATCAAATGTATCTAGCCTTTGCAGAAGAATATTTTACAAATGCACACAAAGGCATGGGGGTTGGAGAAAGAGAAATAAAACAGTACTGTCAGTCACATAGTAACAATCAATATAGAAAGAATATTCAAAAGTAAGCACTTCTTTCAATAGAAATATCTAGTAACTAGAGCTCAATAGATTTCATGTATTTTACACAGAGAATATTAAACGTTTATTAGTCTTGAAAGCAAAAATTATAAATTCAAATGATTTACAATATCTTTACATAAAATCTTTCAACAAGCCACTTTGGTTTGGTTTATTTTCAGTCTCTAAAATATCTTTGCACAATAAGTTTAGTATATAAATCAAGAAAGGTGATAAAAGTTCTTAGCATAATCAACTTCCCAAAATTTGACCAAATATCAGAATTTGTATGTGAATCCTTTCTTGGTTATGCTGAGAACTTTTTAGCATCTCCTGTTTATCTGATATTGAAACAAATACACACAAATATTATAATTTATCAAACAGATAACTTATATTCTAAAACTAACTTATTTTAAACTTGTAATAAAAATGTTTAATAATCTACAGTAAAAGTTATATATGCTAATTTTACAATAGTAGCCTTAATAATCAGGCTCTTATTCAGTTATTTTAACCCATCATACACAAAGAAGTATTGAATTACTATGGAAAAGAAGAATGGTGGGATTGGTAGATTTTTTAGAAATATTACATAAAGAAAGCATAGAAGCAAATAAAAAGTTTATTCAAACACCAAAATATTTCCTCTAAAATATTAAGCTTAATTTGCCTCCTAAAAATATTTTCCAGGTATAATGGGTTAAAATTAATTTTCAAAAATAGAAAAGTGCAAAGTTTGCCTTTCTGCTAACATCAAAAAAGAAAATCTAAGTAATAATGCTACAGTTAGAATTAAAATATGATAGATAAGTAAAATATGGACAATTTCAATAATTTTGAACATTAAAAAAAAAAAAAAAAAAAAATCTATTACATAGTGAATAAAATAAAAAATTATTCTAGTCAACATGATACCACATTGTAAAATCCTTTTTTAGTTTTACTAACAATTTCAACTTTGTGAATTAAAGCTAGAAACATTTCCTCTCCCTAATGTTCATATCTACACATTATCATTTATTGTTTTAAAGATAATGAGGAGACAGAATGATGGTCAATGTAATTAATATGAAACTTGCCCAAGTGCAGATTAATTGAAATGAAACAAATAATTCCATTATTATTTACATTTTTTCCCTATTTTTCCAATGAAACATGACCCAATGCACATGTTAGTACTTCATATGTCCATTCCACAAAGCTGTTCCTTGCAGATTGACCACAGATACTTGATTGGATTTAAATCAGGAGAGTTTCCAGGCCTGTCTATAGTACTTTGATTTGCACATTGATAAGGCTTGCCAGTGTGTTCATGTAGCATTACAATTTTCGTACACTTCCTTGGAGTAACAGCCATCGTAGACAATGGCCGTAGGACAACGAATCAACAATAGTGTCCAGGCGTGATAAAAATCTGATGCAATCACAGATAATGCAATATTTTTCAAAGCCAAACCATTTTCATCATACACCCCAAACAAATGACTTAATCTGAGAAAAAATAGAAATTGATTACACCCTGTCACTGTAGTGGGTCTAAAACTGACCGTATGGTGAAAGAAAGGAAACTAAAGTGGTTGTTTCAATCAATTTGCACAAGGGTGTAAATTAAGAAATTTTCTTTTGGTATTAAAAAAGTAAAATAAAAGAAATATGCTATGCAAATAATTTTAAAAGTATTTATACAGCATGGTATCAATTGAAGAATGGGAAAAACAATTTCAGATTTTTAAATATTCTTTCAAACAATTTTATATTAAATATTAATACATAAACTTCTAAAAATAAATAAATAAAATAAAAACAAATAAATGCTTATAATTAGTAAAAAAAAAAATAATGTGTGTGTATATATATATATATATATATATATATATATATATATATTCTTCACAGGAAGTTATAATGGTATGAACTATCTTTTTAAACTTTCAAAAAAGTTTTTGCTTTTTTATACCACACCCAGCTCCCCATGTACAATGTTGAGTAAAAAATTTATCTCAAAATACTCACCAAAGGTCGCCCAGTCCAATCAAATTCCCAGTCACATACAAAGTTCATTTTGTTCATGAGATCTGTGAATAATTTTCGCAAATATTCATAATCTGGCGTTTCGAAAAAGTCTAGATGACGAACATAGCGTAGGTATGTCCCTAGCTCTTCTGCAAAATGAAAAAAAAGAAAAAATACAACCATTGTTAAGTATATATTAAGTAATTCAATAATTAACTTGAAAATCAAAGATGATATTAAAAAAAAAACACACAATTGTTTTTACAGTATAAATTTTTGAAAGCAATTCCCAATAAACTTTGAGAAATTATAATGAAGTGATTTCTTTAAATTACTGCAACTTTTTAGAAATCAAGATATTTAAGAGACTACTCATTAATGAAAAAATTTTCATAGCATTTTGTGAAGTTTTATTAAAACTAGATATGCTGTTTTGTTCTGACTTATCCAGAACATAATGGAACATTTGATAAAAACAAACTAAACAAGGAAATACACACATTCTTATACATTGAATTACAGGTCACACACATTATACACACACACGCCTAGAGAGGAACTGAAAAGTTCTTGATCTATCCAAAACACTACCCATACCTTGCTCTGGTGTTTGGTCATTTAGAAAGTGAATCAGACTAAGAACATTTTTAAGCATCCCCTTATACACAAAGTCAATTCATCAAAATATGCTAATCAATATTTGGAAACAAAATATTTCAGCCCAACGGAAGTGTCTTGATTTTTTTTTAGCAAATTAAAAACATATATAACAATAATAATATTATTTATTAATAACATTATGTGTGGGTGGTGTAATGTTTAGAAGCTTGGAACGAGAAATCAGCAAGCCAAGATCAAATTGATTAGATTAACTTTTGTGCAAATACCTAGAGGAAAGTTATGAATTTATCTTCTCTCACCAGAGAGCCATGGTTGGCAACCAGTCTCGGAGAAGGACAATTAATAAAAAAAATACTATGCAGCTATCAATAAGATCATGTAATTCACAATGACTATAATTTTGACTGCAGTCGTTAGAGAAAAAGATTTTAATTATTACTGCAGCTGCTATAATGATTTTTTTTTTTTAGATAATGTGCCCTATTTTATGAGCGCAATTTACAGTTATCAAAAGAGATTCCACAAGATAACTATTTATTTTAAATTCCATTTTTTGTTTTTTGATGTATAGAGCTAAAAAATGCTCTGCTAAATTTGTACAATGAGAATTTCAGACAAAAAGAAAAAAAAAGGTGGAGAAGGTGTAAAGAAATTACAATTTACCATCCAAAAAGTTCTAATTAAAAAGTTTTAGTACTTTTGAAACCAAGATCAAAGCACATATATGTAAGCCGCCTTCTCTTGCATAAGTAAATGTAATTCAAGAATATCTTTAAATTTTTTCTACATCTTTAAAGAGAAAGAGAAAAAAAACATTTCTCTAAATAAAAATCATAAAATATTGTGGTGATAAATATATCCAGTTATTTGATAATCCCTGACACTAACAAATCTTTATAAAAGAGAAAAGCATATCTTATGTATAAAATTTTTTTTATTTATATAAGTATGTATTATTACATTTTTCTCTGCATTCATCTCCTTCCTTTAACAGAAACATTAAGACAAAGTATTAATATCAGCCAAGAATTCAGTTTTTTTTTGCGGGGGTGGGGCGCATCAAAGTCAACTTCTACCAATAACCGACATTTGAAGCCATTGTTTAAAACCAACAAACAGAAAATTTGTTTAATTTGCATGGCTTCAGGTAGACACAATGAGGGCATAACAACATATTTCAAAGACAAGTTATCTGGGTGGCTGATAATAAACAGTTTGTAAATTATATAAAATTCCTGCAATGGAAACAAATTAAAAAAAAAAATATGATTATAGGTAATAACTACTCAAGTGGGAACAGAAAATGAAAGGACATGCTTTACAATGAAAAACACTGATTTGAGGAATGTTTCTCCACCATGTTTGTGTGTATGTGTATAGAGACAAATCTAAACACACTGTCTAGTCAGCTGAATAAGAAAAAAATGTGATGGAAATAAAATAAACCACAATTCTCTACTTTCTGTATAGGCAAAATAGAGGAAGACTAGAAGAAATAACTTAAAATTCCAGCAATTTCTCTCACACACATGCATAATCTCCTGACACCCCCCAAACACACACAACAATGAAACATTAGTTTAAGCACTTACATTTTAGGCAAGTCCTTTTTACCATATGTTCAATATCATCAGTAAATGAGAAACAGCAAAAAGAACTTCATCCAGAAAGTGTTTGTTGTAGTCCAATGGTTAGAAAATTGGACTTGATATGGTTACAGCATAAATCCTTATCCATGTAACAAGGTAATTAAATGTTAAGTTTGCATTCTTGCACTTATGTATCATTTACTGTATATTTGGTTCTAGACATGAATGGTTCATACAAAACTGAGCAAATGCTTTTCTCTTCATATAAGAGTCAATCTAGTTCATATGCTTTTTACACATTACTCAAATGATAAAGTTTGGTGCAAGACTGTCAGCTATCTTGCAGAGTTAGCTATCAACAATAGACATTATTTTCAAGTTGTCAAAGCAAAACTGATACTCAAGAAATTTGGAAAAAAATTAATAATTTTATAATTATCTTCAAAATAGGAAATTAACAAATCTATAGATAGAACATTAAGATTAATCAATTAAAATAATTATCAATTATCGAAGAAATCAAGTGAATTCCCTTAACCATGCCAAATGTATTTGTTTATAATCATACCTCATGCATTCATACACTTAGTTTCAAAATTTATACTCTCCCTGCCAGTTTTAAAAAATCTCTTACAATGTTTTGTATTCTCTCATCAACTAGAAAAATATCAAAATTATCATTCAATAATCATTTCACTCACCTTAAGGAAATGGACAAGTTTCAACTTTCATTCAAAAAGAATAACAACCAATTCCAGTTATTTGTATCAAAGAGGGTTTTTTTTTTTTTTTTAAACTGCTACTACCAAATATGATCAATTCTAAGCCAATTTTATTTTAAGGTTTAAACATCTGAATATACAATATCTTTATTGTAAAAAAAGTACAATAATGATATTATATATTCAGAAGATAGAAAATGAAATTTATGGATTGTAATTTTGAAAAGGCTAATTTCATTTCAATGTGCTTACTATGCTATCATATAGACATCTCTCATTACAATATATGAAACTACTGATTCCGTTTCAGATAATGTTTGAAATTAAAATGGCCTTCATCAAGTCATCTGTAAACAATATAAAATATAGACAATTAAGTGAAGCCAAATATCATTTCACAATATTAAAATTCCCACCTATTGCACCCGTCCTAACAGCCACTTGAAACAAATTGCTTTTGCAAGCCTGAAAGGTAAGTAATTTCTGCTCAAGGGCAAAATGCTGACCCATTTATATTACATATCAATTGTTGAATAAACAAATGTCCTTGGAGGAACAAAAACTTGCTAGATTAGTGCAACTAAATAGAAAGTAAAAATAACACTTGCATATACAATTATATACAATTTTCATCACTTCTTTTTTTATTATTATAACAAAACACACATACAATGTGTGTGTGTGTGTGTGTGAAAAAAATTGTATAATTACCATCATTTTTTTGTGTGTGTGTGTGTGTGTGTGTGTGTGTGTGTGTGTGTGTGTGTGTGTGTGCATGAAAATGAATGGTAATTATATGATTTTTAAAGTAAAAAAAAAAAAAAAAAAAAAAAAAATTACTCCTGGTAAATATTAAACTAAAATTTTAAGAAAGATAGCTAGCTCTTAGGATGGGTGCATTTTATAAATGACAAGTCTATAAAACAGTCTCTAAATACATAGGTTACAGGCTGCTTATATAGAAATGATAGTATAAAGATTAAATGCTGGCAGAACCAAGATAACAGAAAAACAATATCTGAAAGTGAAGTGAGAAATCAGAGAGGAAAGAGCTGAAACATGCATTTTCTTTTTATTATTAATTGGAATATAGATTATACAATAAAATAATCTTATTAGTCAACTAAAAAAGAAAAAATAGTCTCAAGAATAAGTTTACAATAATAATAAAGATCTTGTTCAAAGTGTTGAAAGAGCAAATAACTTTTCTTTTTTTTTTTTTATTTCATCACTTTTAATAAGAGGTATTTTCCCCTCTTTTCTTACATTTGATAAAAACTAAGAAACTATCATCTGAAACACTGTGCTAACAACAACAACAACAGAAGAAAGGAGATTCACTTGTCTGAACAAAATTAATGACTTCTTACAGTTATAGAAAATAGATCCTTAAAAAAGGATTTAACTTTTTCTTCTCTGTACACCATAAATTATCAGTGCCAGACAGTTTCTTGTTTGACAAGTGTGCCTTATTATAGTGTAATGATCAGCTCAAATATGAATTCTCATACTGGTTATCAGGATATGCAACCAACAGAAACTCTGTATTGTGGCTCTCTAAATTCTTCCCTCTTAATTGTTATTTACATAATGAACACACCAACTAATTACAAATGTAAGGGATAGAACAAAAATCATTATGACCAAGAAACATTTGGTTCTTTTTCTTTTTTTTTAAATAAATTTAATAATAAAAAGAAAAAATATCTTAAAATATTTTACAGTTAACTTTAATTACAAATTAATAGTTAAGCCTACAATTGCAATCAACTTCCATCATATTGATTTATTAATTACTAATTAAAAAAGTAGAGATCAATAAAATAAAATTTTACAGCAAAAATAAAAAAATTACATAATTTTTGTAGCTTCATTATCAATCACATTAAAATTTTATGCTTCTATATAAATTATATTCTAAACTGCATACTATCAGATAAAAATCAACTGACAATAAAGTGAAAAAAGTCCTCATTAAAGCTTCCGAGTTGTGCAAATATTTCAATGAAGAGCATATTGGCTATAACTTGGTGCTAAGAAGGTCAAGTTAACCAATGATAAGGAAAAATAACACTAACAAAATTTTGACTTTTTTTTTGTCTGGTCAGTAAGTTATTTCCTATTTGCTTCTGTCTAGAAAGCAAAGGAAATGGCAATTATTCCCTTCAAACATTGCTTTTTGTAACCTGGACATTGATGTTTTGAAACTAAACTCTTTTCCTTTGCATTCCAGATTCAGTGCCGAGTTGTTAAAGGAGGATTTTCTAGAACTTTCTAAAAGTTTCAAGAATTTCTAAGATGTTCTGACAACATAAATGGCAGTATAATTAGTGGGAACATAAGCTCAACAGTTTACTTCTAACTGTCCAAGTGCAGACAAGTTGTTGTTGATAGATGCATTCATGACAGATGGCATCAAGAGGTTGTGAGCATCTGGCAGGCACATTTTGTCATATCTGGAGAATTTATCAAAACAAGAGTGAAAAAGTACTGTGGAAACATCTGCTAAAATATGCAAGGCCTACAAGGCATATTTCGACATGACTGTCATGGATCAAGACAAACCTTGAGCACCTCATTTCACCTGTGAACTCTGCAAAAGGACTCTAGAAAGTAAGATGGAAAATTTTGCTTGTTTGGATAGTAGAATTTTTAAGTGTAAAAGATTTGGAATTTTTATTTTATTTTATTTTTTTTTTATTTTTTGTTTTAAACCAGTGTTATCAAAAAAAAAAAAAAAAAAAAAGTGTATTCAATATGTTTCAATAATTGCACCTTAGTGCCCATGATATCATAGATGTTTTCTATACTGGATCACTGGAAAGAGCCATAAAAATATGGAATATTAGGGATGTTCAGTATTCAAGATCCCATATTTTTGTGGCATTTGCTACCTTAATTTGGGTCTGAAGTCAGAATTTTACATATCCAGTGAATGATTTTTAGGAATTTTGAAAAATGCATTTTTTTTTTTTTAAAAGAATTTTTCAATGACACTAGGTGAAATATATTTGTATTTTTATACTCATATTTTTATTTTGCTCTTTTGCAACTGACCACTCAAGCAATTGCTTCTGCATGGTGGACCATTCCAAAATATGTCTGCCATCATATATCCAGAATTTCGGTCATCCATCACCTAAGAGCCACATTGCCCTGAGCTCCCCATACCCACACCTCTAAAAAGAGAGCAGCCATCTTCAGAAAAGGATGAAGTCAGTGATGCAGATTAAAGAAGCAAAGCTGAGTAGAGAAACCCTATACTATCCCAACCACAAAGACCAGTGCTGAGCTTCTGATGTTGAGAGACGAGCAGTGGAATTTGTTAGATGAAAGTTTGCAAGTCATGGGTCAGAGAAAGTGTCAGTGTTTTCAAGCTTTTTCAGCCATCAGGATGGTCTGCAGCTTCAAATACCTTTAAGATTTCTTCCCTAAGCTGTCTGTGGCAAAAGTCAAAGCTGGTGTTTTCATCATACCACAAATAAAAGGAGATTATACAGTGCAAGGAATTCCCCAAGAAGCTCACTAGAATGAGGAAAGCAGAGTGTGGAACAGCTTTTGTCGTAGTTGTTCTGGGCTACCTGGGGAATCATAAGGCTGAAAACTATGTGGAGCTTATTGAGACCCTGGTGAAGAACTACAATAAAATGAGCTGCAAAATATGCCTTAAAGTCCATATCCTTGATGTTCATCTTGATAAATTCAGGGAGAATGGGGGGGGATGTACTCAGAGGAGCAAAGTGAGTGCTTTCACCAGGATATAGTGGACTTTGAATGCCACTACCAAGGATCATATAACAAAAACATGATATTTGGGGTTTGATTTGTGAAAGTAATTTACAATCTAAGCATAAATTACAAAAAACTACTCACTTCTAAATATTTTGTGATCTCTCTCTCGTGTAATCCTAGAATAAACGCTACGTTTGAATCACGTCATTTTGTTCCTACTTTACACAAACGAGAATGATCACATTCTCTAGTTTTCCCAATGGGAATAGGTAAATTTCAAAAATATCATTATCTTTGTCACAAAAGCAAAGTTTGAAGGAAATATTAGCCATTTTTCATACTTTCTGGACCTAAGTAAATAACAGTTGTTACCCAAGGACAAAAATCATGTTACACCATGTAATCGAAATGTAATAAGAATTTTGTTTTACAATCTGAGTAAAATTCTTAAGCAATAAAAATATTAGCCAGCACTTTTTGTGTAAAAAAAAAAAAAGATTCTCAATAAATTCTGGATACTTACAAATTTTTTTTTTTTATTGTTTCAACAATATTACCAATAGGCTATTTATGAGGGGTGCTGAAAAGTCCTCAGCCTGGCCTACTTTCCAAAATGAGTATTTTAATACATAAACATTAGAATTTTAGAAAAAAGTGACTTGAACCAAGAACTTTTCATCACCCTATCATAATGGACTTAATTCTGGTTTATAATCAACATTCTTACAAAAGCAAAGTTCAAAGTAAATAACTGGTATGAAAAGAAATTCCAAATTTATTAAAGTAAAAAATACCCTCTATTGGAGGAGAAAAATTTAATAACTCAAGCAGATATGGATATCAGTGGTAAATATCCTTATTGTATATCTATAAATGCATATAAATTTATAAAATAAATATTTACTCCTGTACCAATTATTAAATTTTTGTGAGTAGTTCAGAAATATTAACTTTGTATAACCGCTTCTAACATAACTAGCTAAAATGTATTTTCTTGACATTTACATTTTATCTGAAAGAAAATCATTTTCATATTACCTGTTAACAAAATGAGTATGTCTGAAAACAGCATATGGAATTTTTATAGGAAAAAATCTTAATTTCATGCTATGGGGTCAAAAGTTAAACATTTGGCAGAATGCTTAGAAAAGCATCTAAAAGAAAACTTTATATATATATATATATATATATATATATATATACACACTATATTTACATGCCTTCACAACATATTCTAGTTGTTGAACATGATAAGAGGAGTATTATAAAAAAATTAAAAAAAGGGTTATTATAATTATGTATTCACAAAATAGGCATTGCTGAATAATTAGTGCAACTGCTTACAAGCAGAAATATTCAGCCTTGTCTAGGTTTCTAAATCTCTAAAATAAAGGCAACCATTAAGTTCAATATGCATCATCTGGTCAAGGAATGCTGATCTTTTTAAGAATTGTTGCTTCTAAGTAATTAATACAATTATATTTTACATTTATAAAAATTTAAAAAGAAAAAAAAGTTCATTTTTTGTTTTTGTTTTTTAACATAAAAGATCGTATGATAAAAGTACATATAATTTATTAAAGAACATCTAAGATTAAGGCAAATAATTTATAACTGATTTTCTTTTTATGCCCAGTATTATCTAAATAAAACTTTTTTTTTTAAATTAAGCAAAAATTTCTTTTCAAATAAAACCAATAAGTTCAAAAGTCAAAGCTTTTATTTTTGCTAAGTCTTTCATGCTATAATTGGATGAGGAGAAGAAAAAGCAGTAAATATTTCTTTTAAAAAACAAGATGGCTCTTATGAAAATAAAAATAACAAAGTCATGAGAGAAGAGGCAATGTATATGCAAGTGGCTTACAACAGATTCAAAATTGACTCATCAATAAAATTCATTAAATTTTTAAACATTTCTAAATTCTTTCAATCCTAACAAAATATTTGGAGTAGTCAAGAAAATAAGTCGCACACTTAAAATTACCATTAATTAATGAGACCTACCATTATGTTTATTACTGGTAATAAACATTTTTTATACTATGTTATTATCTGATAGTCATGAGAATGCATTCAGAATTATCATAGAATACTAGTTTAAACTGCACTCATAAAAACCACTTTTGAATCTTCATTTAATAACAAATGAATATAAAATAGTGTTAAAAACCAGAGAATCATGACAGGTAAGTTTTTAATTTTTAAAAGTAAATGTGTGATAAGTGGCAAGTGACAAATAACTGAAAAATCAAAGTTATAATAAATCTAGACATTCTACAATGTTCCATTTGATAAGAATTTTTAAATTACAGAAAAATTTCAACATTGCAACAAAAAGATTGAACCACAATATATTTCATTAACATTACCTGGAAAATTTTCACACAAAATGTCTATGGGTGTTGCCCGTTTTGTGTCTCCAATTTTTTGGTATCTTTCCTTTAGGGTTTCTGCTTTGAGTCCTTGCCAAGGTAGGCTTCCCCTTAAAAAGTACATAAACATATGACCTAATGCTTCTAAGTCGTCTCTCCGACTTTGTTCTGCAAAAGAACAAAGATGAAAATGGAAAGATTAGCTGATTTACAAAAATCACAATTAATGAAGTTTTACTGAAAGTCAATTAGTATTTTCAATATTCACTTTAGATAACATTCAATAAATTCTGAAATAGAAAAAAAGAAAGCAAGATTATCATTTTATTTTAAAAAATAAAAATAAAAGATAGAAACGAACTAATTTTAGAATGAAAATTCTTATACACACAACACCATCATAAAGGTTCCCTCTCCCCCAAGAAACATTCTGGCAACAGGCCTATGATAACCTGATCATCAGCAAGGAAGATGCTGATCAAAACTATTAAAAATTAGATGAAAAAAATAAAGCAAACTTTAGCAATGCCATTTAGTAAGAGTTTGTTAATGTATTAATAAAATTTTCTTACACACCAAATTATTTAAGGCTATTCAGATCCTCAGCTAAAAAATATTATTCACCTCTTATTTTTTACTCACAGAGTTTTCACAAACAAATTGCAACTAATTAAAGCCAAATAATATTATATAACATCATGGAATAACAAATCACAACAAAATAGTTCAAGTTAATACAATTTGACAACCAAGTCATTTTTTATTTGAGCTATGAATTTTCAGAGATCAGATGTTCATGTCAATTTTGAATGTGAAAACCAGTATTTTTCTACCAAAAATCTACAAGTCAGAATAACTTGGCTCATGCCTGATGTAACTAAAACATAGTTAGAAATATAACTCACATATGAGGGTTGTTCCAAAAGAATTACCTCCTATTTTATTATAGTGGACTATGAAATTAGAGGTAAATGTTAGTGGTATAATCATAAAAGTGAAACCTTCCTACCAAAAGCTATAAATTTTTTTTTTGCCTTGTTACAGATAGCAACTGAGTAGTGATCTGGCAAAATGGAGTGGGAAAAATTGCACCCATTAACAATTTATCAATGCTTGTTGAATGTTTACATAGACCAAACCATGAATGTGAGCAAAGTTAGGCAGTGGGTAATGCATATCAACAGTAGTAAGAGGAAGGAATTTGACAAGCCACATTCAGGCTTCTCAAGAAAAGCTAGACCAGCAGAAAAGACATCCTGATAACTTTTTTTTTTTTTTTGACTCCCATGGCTCTTCAGGACATAGGTAATCATGACTTGATGTTTTTTTTTCTTTTTTTTTTTTATCTGAATTGTCATGTCTTCCTGTGGAGTGGTTTCTTGCTGCTTTGTCCATGGTTTGAAATGCAGAGTTTTCTTTCTATTAGGCTGGTAGCCATCTAAAGCTAGATAGTCCAGTCAACTCTGCTATTTAACCCATAGTTGTGGGGAAGGAGAGACAAAGTCTCGTTTGTCCTCAGTGCTAAAATGAAGGCAACAGATGAGGACAGAATTTGAACTTGGTTTGTTGATTCCATTTTCTATACCAATATCTATTACACTAAGCTCATATCTTCCAACAATGGGGAGAGTGGGAAAACTGTTTTGTCACCAAGTACTTGCTCTATTCAACAATTTTATTGTATTCCTTATATCTGTTCTAGTTTCCATGGAACTCAATAGGAAGCATTATTTTCAGAGCATCCTTGTACTCCCAATGTAATTTTTTTTTTTTTTTTTATATTAAATATTACTTGTTTGTAATTTTAACATCTTTGAAAATTTCTGTCAAGATGAAAACATTCAGTTCATTAAACTGTTCCTTAATATATCAGTAAATAATGTTTGAAAAAAAAAAAAAAATTATAAATAATATTGAATTAGACATTTTGGAAAAAGCAAATGCAGTTCAAAGAAAATTTAATTTTATTTGCTTCTTTTAATTGAATTTGATCTTATATACTAATTAAAACCATTGCAATCAACTATAAGAAATATTTTAATTTCTAAATAGTCATTTTTATATAAATACAACGTATTCTAAGAAATGTGTACAAACATTGTCCAAAGTCATTTTCTTTGCTTTTTGATGGTAAGAATCATTCCTAAAAATTTTCAAACCTATTTTTTACCATTACTGTCTGAAAACATACATTTCAATTTATGTCAGTCCAGATTCAATTTGGTTTATATTATAACTTAGTTGTGTTTATTCTATTTTCAAATTTTAATCAAGGAAAAAAAAAATAATGCATGATATTTGAAATTCATTTTGATTTCTATTATCAAAACTAAGAAATAAAAAGAAAATCATGCAATATTTGTCTTTGTGAAACTTCAGTGTCAATTATCCAGAATAAAATTTCCTCCATAGGTCATGCATTATCATTTCCTTTTGCATTGACAGACAAGCACTATTGTCCCAGTTATATGAACTTATACTACAAGAATATTGCCTACACTTCAATCAGTCTAAATAAGAATAGACAATAAAGACAGCTTTCTATGTTAGAACTATTGATAAAATCTACAACTCCTTTTAAGGAACAAAAACTGATTAGCCAAACTGAATACACAGCAAATAAATCAACTTTTGTTACCTTCAACAATCAATCAAAATCCACAGAAAACAAACCTAACCTAAGCATTGAAAAATTTATAATCAATATTTTAATAACATCACTTTCAGATTATCATTTCAACTATTGGCATTTCAAATACAATTTCTGTTAAAAAGTCCAATAAAGGCAATCTTTATAAATAAGCACAACAAAAAGAAGTAGGTTAACTGATATGCTTTGGTACAATAATAACATCTTGAAGATAGTAAAATTTATATTCACTCATCATTTTAAAGAAACTAATTTATTAAGTATACTTGTATACTAAAAGAATACTCATCATAAAATCACTTGAAAAGTAGTGAACATTTTGTATACATTAAAATGCATACATTGTTCTTGAATGCTTTCCTTTTCCAATTTTGTTTCTATTAACATATAGTGTATTACCTGTCAAAATTGACAGACTTAACTATGTATTTATCAACTTTTCGACCAAAAATCAGAACATGTATAAATTCTGCCAGGGATCAGTGTACTATCTGCGGGTTGTGAAAGTGTCACAGATACACACATTTAGGGTAGGGGGTGCTGAAAAGTTCTCATTCCGGTCAAAAATATCCTGATGCCTTCAAGCAATCACTGGAACAAACATCAGAAATGTTTATGGCCAAGGATAACAAATATCTTCATTGTATTGCAGAGAGAACAAGAAGATATCAAATAAGCCATTCCACCAGCACTCTAGCAAATAAAATAAAAAAAAAAAAAAAAAAAAAAGTAATTGTTAAACATGCTTTGGGCGAGGGATAAGTAGACACATGCAAATTAAATTTATAACTCCCCACCACTTCATATAGAAAGTTCTTTCAGCTATTTTATTTTTGCAGTATTTTAAAATAATTTGGAAGTTAACACATAATTAACTATATTACAGATTCACATGTCAATAATCTCATCATTCCTGACTACTACTATGCCAGGAAGACAGTGCACTGGTTTTAAAATTCAGATCCGAGTTTTCCAACATGTCTGGGTTTCTGTTTTAATTCTAATTTAATGAAATTCAGTCTTTTTTTCTTTTTTTAATACTTAAAACTGTAGAGCAGCAAACATCAGTGTTTTCAAAATTCATTTTCTTTCATGTTATAATACAATCTGTCATCATTTTGTCTTTTGATTTTCAAGTTGGTGTATCAAAGAAATTGACAAAATGCTCTTGCATGAACCCAAGTGAAGTGTGTTTCATTACAAACAACTAAGAATTGCAAAATTAACTGTAAAGATTCTTGGAAGCTAAGTCTGGCTGATTTTTTTTTTTTTTTGTAATTTAGTCAAATATCTGGCAAATTTTAATAATTAGCAAGTTTAATTAAAGTAAACATTTTATTCTCATTAATAATTTGATCTGGTATCTTTTTTTTTTTTTTAATCTGATAAGTAAAATTTCAATTTCAAACCATATTAAACAAATAGTAAGACAATCTCTCATTCATGAATGGAAAATTTGAATTTCTATTTAAAGCAAAAACTGCTTATGCCAAACAACTTGAAGTATATATGACATTTGTGACTTAATTCTGAGGTTTTATTTTATAGTGGAAAGTGTTATCTTGCAATCATTGGAAAAATAATAATTACTTGGTGATTCATTGATTAGGATTAAATATTTGATTAAGTATTTATACTTTCTTCATAAAATTACAGGTAAACAAGAAACTGATTTATATAAATAATATTTTAATTTGGAGCAATGACTCAGAAAAATGCAAATGTTCCATTTTTAGTAAATAACTTTCATATTTCTCACTTGAATTTGTTTTAAAATTCAATATGTAAATAATCTGGCATTCCTCCCTGACAAACAAAATTTAATCATTTATATATGAGGTTAATTTGTGGGTATTCTAAGTGTTGAAGAATTGGTATAAAAAGTGTGGAATCTTTGAAATGCAGCATAGTCACCCAATATCATAAATGATAAGATGTAAGAATATATAAGAGGCACAAAAGTCATCATTCACATGTTGTGAAAAGATTATAAAACTCAGAGAGGTTAGATATTTATAAGGGTTACTGTCAGTCTGCTGTCTTAAAGATAAGACAAACTTGTTCAAAACAATCCACTTGCAGTTTCAAAGTCGAGACAAAAGCAAGAGATGAACATCAGCTGTATAAAATCCCTATTTCCAATCAATCTGCCAATTCAGGTGAAATTTCCAAAACCTACTAATGATACTGATGTAGCTCTTTCAATCCACAACTCTCTGGAGGTCCCATTAGCTCAGATATGACAGCAGGATACTGATCATTTTTAGTGATGAATCAAAATTCTGTATTTTCTTCAGTGAATTTATCCACTGCATCTGGAGAAAGTCAAATGAATGATACAATGCCAAATTCATGGGAAAAAAAAAAATGTAAAATTCCCTCAGCCTGTGATGGTTTGAGGTTGTATGTCTGTCACTGGCATCGGAAAGATCTGTTTATTGAAAAGATCGGTTAATCTTCAAAAGAACATCTTAGGGAGAAGACGATAAGTTCTTGATTGGCCTGCAAAAAACCCAATCCAATAGAAAATATATTGGAATTGTCAAGAGGAGCTTAAGAAAACACTATTCATCACATTTTTAAGAATTGAAGTCTGTCATTACTAAAACTGATGACAGCAGGTTAACTAATTTTTTTTTTTTTACCATAATGAAAGAAATAGTAAATACACCTTTAAGAGTAAACTGTCCAGTTTTAAAGAAATTTGTGCCAGAAATATGACACAAACAGAATGTTCCATTTTTCTGAATGATTGAAAATCAAACCACCTTAATATTAAGTCATTTTTTTTTGTTTGTTTTTTTTTTTTTTTTTTGGGGGATCTACTTTTCTCCTTTCCATTTCAAACGAATTAACTTTTTACTCTTTTTTTTTACCAATTGCTCAGAGATTTCTTGAGCCCTGCCTCCTAAGTTTATACATGTCTTCAAACAGTTTGCCATTGTCTTAAATGGACTGCCATCTGGTATTGCAGGTACAAGGGAGATAACTATTAAGGGAAAATGTTAGACATTACAAATACATATGGTGTGTATAGACTGTGTGATGCATCCAATTTTAATTCAAGTTCATTGCTGAAATTTGCTTTACTCTTGTAGTTTTTATATGTGAATTGCTGATAATATCGATTTCATCCCATTAAGCTTATATTCTCTATACATTGTAACATTTTCGTTGTTTTTTTTTTTGGGGAGGGACATGAGAAGACTACTGCATAAGTTAAGAGCAATTATGCCTAGTCAGTCATATAAAGCAATCCAGCATTTTATATAGCTGGGACAACTAGGACTGAAATAATTTTAAGTGATTGTTACTACAGAAGTAGTCAGGTTGATCCCCTCTGGTTACTCCATACTAGATGAAGCTAAATAACATTTTATACTCTACAGGTTAAAAAGAAACATTAAGACTCATTTAAATGTGAAACACCATTTCCTACCATATATATATATATATATATATATATATATAATCTAACAAAAATTATCTGCCTAATACTTTAAAGATCTATTCTTGTTTGCATCACTCACAGTAGAAGTATAGCAAGGAGGATGAAATGGAGTTATACAGATGGTTTCTATTTATTTCTAAATAAACTGGTCAAATGTTAAGAAATAAAAATTATTTTAAGGTAGAAATCTAATATCTATCTGCCAAACTGAAAATAGCAATAAAAACACAATTGATCCTATTTACACATCAAGAACTTATTTGAAACAAAGTCATAAGTAATGTTACAGCCAAAATCAGAGTAAATTGAAATTTAGAAATATAACACAATAAAAGAAAATACTTTAATATTTCTTTAATGACATTTTATTTTCATAAAGTAAGGTACTTCCAGAAAAAGGTTTCCAAAAATTAAATTTGCTGCACAAAATCTCCATAATAATCATTACAAAAAATAATTGAAAATTTCAATCTAAATTTCTATCTGCACCAAACTTAGAATTATCTGCTTTCTTCAGCACATTAAATTTGCTGAGAATTAGGGATTTGTGTAACTCACAATCCCTGACTGGTTTTGTTTGAATGACAGCTATTAATTAAGAACACTTGTTTACAATCAGTCAATCCACTCAAACACATGTAATGAGTTGGTTCATACTGGAGATACACAAACTGAACACCATAGTACATGATCATTAACATCACATTTTAAACCTGTTTAATGATGGCTTAATGGCCCTAAAAATGAAACCAATATTGTCTATTTCAGGGTTAAAAATAGAACAGGCTTAAGCATTAACCAAATTTTTATATTCAAGCAGAAAGTAATAACTTGTAATCTTAAAAAGAATTTCCAAGTATTTAAAAAAAAAAAAAAAAAACTCTTGTAGTATGCAGGGTATGAAATATGGATACTTTCTGACCAATCTGTTTAATATTGGGATCAAATGTTAATTAGAATTTTGGTAAACAACTACCTTCAACTAACAGGTGGATCACTTAATAATAATAATTATATAAAAAAAAAAAAAAAAAAGTTTCAAATGGAGATACACACACAAAACAGAAGTCAAACATTTTTGTGTGTGTGTGTATATATATATATATATATATATATATATGAGAGACAAAGTCTCACACACAGACAGAGGAAAAAAAAAGCCACACAGACAGAGGAAAAAAAAAGCCACACAGACAGAGGAAAAAAAAAGCCACACAGACAGAGGAAAAAAAAAGCCACACAGAGGAAAAAAAAAGCCACACACACACACAGAGGGAAAAAAAGTCACACACACAGGGAAAAAAAAGTCACACACACAGAGGGAAAAAAAAGTCACACACACACAGAGGAAAAAAAAAGTCACACACACACAGAGGAAAAAAAAAGTCACACACAGAGTGTGGCAATCAGTCTAAAAGGACCATTCTGGATTCAAAACCATACAGAAAGCAACAGAAAACCACAACACCATTTTTCTTGAGAACAACCATGACAGTAAAATGTCCTTTGATATATTAAACAAAAAAAAACAATCATGACCACCAACATTCCAAAGGGAAATGGAACTTAAAAACTAAGGAAATAAGTTAATGTTTAATTCTTAAATTGCTTACATTAGTTATGGCATTAAATACTGATTTCTTCAAAACAAATAACTGTAGAAGACAAAGTTTTTTCTGTCAAGCAAGTATTCTATTACTAATTTGAAGCAATTTTTTAAATCTTTTAATAATTTATATTTATAATTGCAGAACAATCAATATTAAGGATTAAGTAGAATGAGAATTTACAAAATACCTATTTGTAAGTGTCATCTGATTAAAAATTCTAAAACTCCTATATAAATTTTCCAGATAATAAAAATAATTGTTTCACAAGAGAAATTTACAGTTTTCTTGTTCTTATTGCTACTACTGTAGAGCTGGAATTTGAATTTCATCATAGAAGAAAATATATAAAATGTCAAAGAAAATGATTTCAAAATCACAAGCTTTTAACTTTCTTTCCTATGAGGAAGAAAAGAAAAAAGGGGGTGAGAACAGTTTTTTTTATTTAATATTCAAAAGAAATTAAATCCATCACATTCTTACCTTTCCCCAAATGTGTGTTTATGCTCATATAGCGAGCTGTTCCTGTTAAACTTTTGTGGTCTCGGTAGGGTATGTGTTTATGTGTTTCGGCATCTATGTATTCTTTAGCTAGACCAAAGTCTATAATATGAATGATATGTTGCTTTTTCGTAGACTGCCTTCCAATAAGAAAATTTTCTGGCTTGACATCTCTGTATATTAGATGTTTGGAATGAACATATTCTACACGAGTTATCTGCAAAATAATAATAATAATAATCATCATAAACAAAAAAAGAAAAATTAAAATGGACAAGTTAAGAGCTGAAAAGAGCAATATTTTTTTAAACAATTTGTGTGACAGTTTCCTAAGAGATAAATATTCATATTTTTTTTTCTGAGATCCAAATTATTAAGCTTACAGTTTCATTCACATACATACATACATACATACATAGATAGAGAGAGAGAGAGAGAGATAGATCTACTATTACGAATCCAGTATATCTACCAGATTTAAATTTGGTAACAGTCTTAACTCAGCACCTGAACATTGTGTTGTGCATAAAACTCAGAGTGATGTTACTGGCAAGGAAAAGTGTGTGTGTGTGTGTGTGTGAATGAGTGAGAGAGATGAACTGAACTGAAGTGTGTGTGTGTGTGTGGGGGGGAATCACTAAAACTAGTGACTGAAGTTAAAGTATGTACATAAAGCTTACAATTGTTTTGTTTTCTTTTTATTTGCATGAATGAAAATATTTTCTGTGCATTACAGGGCAAGGCAACTAAAATGTTGCATAAAGGATAAAGTGAATCTATTATATATGTCGGGGGGAAAAAAAACCATAGCAATGTTAAAATTATTGAGTATGATAAAAATTGTTCTTTGAAGTAATATTTGTCATACTCTGGAACAAAAAATATGAATTTGAAATTAAAATCCTATTTGTAACCATTGCAGATATTTCAGAACTATTATCTTCAATGATTTTTTTTTTTTTTTGTATTTAGTCTTGAGAATTCAATTATTTTTTTTATTCACTATTTCACTTGTCTCTCTTCAAATGAAAACATCCAATAGGATCCCAAGACAAAATGGGAACAGCTGTATATGACAGATTGGACAAGATTAAAATTTGTCCCTTGATTCGAGATGTTAGTGCAACAAAGCTTCAAAGTGCTTCAAAGTGCCGATTTGTTTCACTTGGAATTTCTAAGAGACTGGCTAATCTGTTCCTTATATTCTTAACTGTAATTGTCATATATGCAGGCTTTAGACATTTACAGTTTTATGACAGTTGTGAAAGTTAACTTGTTTTGTTTGGTTTTCTTTCTTGAGTGTATTGTTTATGAGGAGATAATTCATGCTGATGGTATATGATTATGCATTAAAGATACATAATGGCTCTCTTAACCTTCTCAATGTTGACATGAGCCAACAGGAAAAACAAAAACAAGAGAGGAAAATTGTGCAAGTAGCAAAAGAAAGAAAAGAATATAAGAGTGAGTGAGTGCAGGTTTGCAGGCCCTGGTACAGATGGACAAAACGCCTAATAGATATTGCTTGATAATATTGACAAAAATGTAATTGTCCTATTCAAAAGAGCAAATGCTGTGAAAGTAATTACAGAAATGAAACTTAGACGAGTTGGCTTAGTAACCATCTAAATACTGAATCAACTCACTATACGGATTATTCATTAAACAAATGAGTTTGTTCCAAAGATAGAAACACAAAAACTGCAATTGAAAAATGACCATTATCCTGCAATAAACAGAAACATTTTTTTAAAAAAATAAGCCTGGAAGCTTCTTTTGTATAAAGTCAAAGGCTAAAAAGCTTTGCAGATTTCAAAGACAATAAAACAAAAAAAATCTTTAAAAACAAATTATAATAATAAATAAACAAACACCAGGCATCTACTATATTCTTTTAAGAATTTTTACTAAGTATGGTTCAGTATGGCACAAAGCTGCAAGGGATACTCAGAGAATATTGAACTTATGGTCATAATAATGGGCATATGGCAAGAATGTTCACTTTCTGACCATGAGACCTGGGTTCAAATCTCACCATAGTTGATGTGTCAGGAAGGTAACTTCTTGATGTTATCAAAGTGATTTCAGCATGTAGCACCTTTGGAAAGTGCTTGAAAACCATACCACAGGTTGACCCAAGCCTTGTGAGTGAAACTCGATAAATAGAACCCTTTGGGAGCCATCAAGTCATCGTGACCGAGGGTTTGACTGTTGATCACGCTAGAAACTGTATCTAATGTCTGCCCAGTATAATTGCAGTATAAACCACAAGTGGGCTCTGTGGGTTTTGACCAAACACAAATGTGCCTGAGCAGGTGTCTGCAACAAGGATTGGCTAGCTGTAGTAGTAGACAGGCATCATCAGATACTAGTGGCTACCCATCCATTTAGTAATAATAATAGTCCGATAAACTTACTAATAACTACTCTATGGTGAGTTATTACTCACCATCAGTTTTAGGAATACAACTGACTAATACTTTATATTCATCACGTTTCACAAAAGATTGTCTAATAACATTTGATTGATTTGTTTTCAAATTGCAGGTTATTTAAAACCAGAAAATATTTTTAGATTTTAAGAATTTTATTTTTGGGAGGAAATAATGGTTTTGTGATACAAGTCTTACTAATTAACCCATAGCTGGGGGAGATGTAGTCAATTCATACTTTTCCCAAGGGTATTTGTACACAAGTGAATATAATGAATCCAACAGAATATGAAACTCAATTGTTTGACAAACCAAGACAAACAATAGAAACATGTTTGTCTAAAACTCCAAAACAAGTTGATTTTCAACTGTGAACTGGAAAAGTAACCATAATAAAAAAAATTAAATTTTTTAAGATAACTTCCCAGTTTGTTGCATATTAAACAGAATATATTGGATTGTCTGGAAAGTTCATGCTGATTTTTAGTGATTCAAGTTCCAACACATTAGAACATGTCAAATTTATCAACAGATATATGCTTACATTTACAATTAGGGCACACCTCAAACTATTTCTTGAGAAAAAGTTTAAAATTACTTAATTTGTGTTAATTTTGCCTCCTTATTAAAATGGAACTTTATAAAAAGGTGCATTTTAGACACTTGATGCTTTTTATTTTTACCATAAAGGCAAAAATGCCTCACAAGCAAGAAAAAAAGATATGTGCTGTGTAGAGTGAAGGTGCTTCAGCTGACAGAACTGTACAGAAGTGATTTGCTATGTATAGAGTTGGTGATTGTAACCTTACTGATGTGGAACACACAGGCAGACCCCCCCCAAACTACAGATGATGACTAAATCAAGACATTGATCGAGAATAACCCATGTTACACAAATCAAAATTTGCCATCCATAAGCATTTAGTGAGGCTTGGGTACTCAAATCACTATGATGTTTGGGCAACACATGATCTGAATTAAAAGAATCTTTTGAATCACATTTCATTTGAGATTTTCTATATAAACACAATGAAAATGAACCCTTTTTGAAGCAAATTGTTATAGGTAATGAGAAATGGATTGTTTACAACAATGCTCAGTGAAAAAGATCCTAGTGTAAGCAACATGAGCCAACTTTAGCCACCTCAAAAAAACAGGTCTTCATCCTAAGAAAGTCATGCTGTGCATCTGGTGGGAATGGAACGGAATCCTGTACTATGAGCTTCTGCCAAGTAAACAATCAATCGACTCTGAAGAGTACTGCTCATAACTAGATAAATTAAAAGGCAGTAATTCAAGAAAAACACCCAGAATTAGCAAACAGGAAAGGTGTTGTTTTCCATCAACATAATGCCAGACCTCATCTTTCTTTGGCGATCTGGAAAAAATTGTTGCAGCTTGCCTGAGATGTATTACCCCACCTGCCATATTAACCAGACATTGTTCCTTCAGATTTTAATTTAATCAGGTCCTTGCAAAATAATCTCAATGGTAAAAATTTTAATTTTTTGGATGACATAAAAAAAAACCACCTTAATGAGTTTTTTGCCAAGAAATCACCAAAATTCTGGGAAGATGGAATCTTTAATTTGAAGGAAAAATGGAGAAAAGTTGTGCAACAAAATGGTTCATATATAGTTGAATATTTAATGGCATAATTTTTTTTGTGTTTAACTTCCCTTAAAAATTTGCATAAACTTTCCAGACAACCCTATACAATCCAAAATATTTTAGACTTGACTATGTGACAAATTCTGTCAGGATGTCAAGTTAAATAAATAAAACAAGCCTGGATTAAAACAGCTGTGTAATTTTAGGAATTGAATTTTAGAATTGAAAAAAAAAATAAAATAAAGTGATAGATAATCTTGTAAAAATCTCAAATATAATGGAGAAACCAACATTTGACAAAATATGGAATAAAGAAATCTAAACAAACATGTTTATATGCCATATATACTCAGCTGGCCCAAGTCTTAAAACAAAGAAAAAATTGCTTTTTGCATTGTTAGACAACCACTTATTTGAGTAGAGCTTTGAAAAATAAGAAAAAGAAAAATTAAAATTAAAAGATTCTTTTAGTATTTAATAGGGAAAATTTGAATACTGGGAAATTAGGCTAAATAGTAACTGGTCAAAGACAATACCTAAAAGAAATCCTGGTTGTGTCTAACAATGCAAAAGATATATTCTTCTTCTTTATTTTCATTCACCTTAAGATTTTGGTCAACAGTGTATAAACCCTTCAGATAATAACTCAGCGTTTTTAATCAAGTAAAAGTTTCTAAGTACACAACTTTATAAATTCAGTTTTTGGAGTTTAGAGCACTTGTTCATAATTTTATCTTTGATTTTGATGGAAATAATTCCTCTGGATTTAATCATCACCTATACAAATCTACCATGTTCCTTTATTTGATACCAAATATTTAAATGGTACGGATAATGGTACTATATTAATGAAAAATTGTTCAAGTATAAAACCTATGATTATGGATAGTTCTTTTCACACATACACAAACAATAAAAAAAGAGCAATGAAGGTACCAGGATTTCACAATATTCTATGTAGTGCAGAGAAAGAACAAACAGGTAGATCCTTACAGATAAAGCTAAATTGATAAGAATAAGAGAAAGATGTTAACTTTAAGATGATGGCTTCATCAAATGGCTAGCATACAAACAAGGACTATATATATCTTAAAATGCAATCAAATACTGCAACGCAAGTTTAAGATGATCTTTTGCAGCCCTTTATGATCAAAATAATGAATTTTACTTAAAA